GCTCTTCACTCTCAACACTTAAGACTAAATGTCTGTCATTATCTGAGCCTTCGTTCTGGAACTGATTGTATTGGTCTTCACGAGTGAGAGAGAGAGAGAGAGAGAGAGAGAGAGAGAATAATGATATGGTCTCACATTGTCAGATCCAATTTTATTATAAACTGTGAGAATATGATTATAAACTTAATATTCTTATTAATGCAATCAAAATACAGTACACGTTATCTCAATGACATTATATAAAGTTCAATTTACAATTCATAAAGTAATTGAAACCATGCAAATATTCGTAATATAATCAAATCACGATTAATTTAGTAAAATACTACTAATTATATTGATTAACTATAGTTTGGATAATTTTAGAAAACATTATATTTTCAAAAATATTTATAGCTCACTTGTCAGTATATAATTGTATTGAAATTAATCATAATAAAATATTATCGTGGTTCTAATTACAAACCATTAATTATAAATTATAATTCAAAATATTGTCATATTGTCGACTCACAAATTCACATCCATTGGCTGTACTTTAAATTACAATTTCTTTTATTAAAAAAAATTAGTGTCTATTTTATTCATATTAAAATCAAATACGAGAAGCACTACTTGATTTATTACTTAATTTTGATGAAAACAGTTTAAACAGTAACAAAATTGACTAAAATTAGTCATAATTTGCATGTTCACTATAAATAAATATTTATTACTTAATTTAATTCATTGTATTCAATGATTTAATGATCGGCTATACGTTTATATGTACAGTACATTTCTTCATAAAATCAAGGTTATTGTGTATTACAATTTAAATTCTATAAATAAAACTTATAATCAATGTCTTAATTATAAAACATAGTTTAATATAAAACAAAATTTTATTAATCAATTAAAACGCATTACAATAACTTTATAATAATGCTAATATAAGAGTAAACATATAAATAAGTTAATTTTGTAATATATTTTAGATTTAATTAAATTATCTCTCATTTGTATGAATTCAAAATATTGTCATATTGTCGACTCACAAATTCACATCCATTGGCTGTACTTTAAATTACAATTTCTTTTATTAAAAAAAATTAGTGTCTATTTTATTCATATTAAAATCAAATACGAGAAGCAATACTTGATTTATTACTTAATTTTGATGAAAACAGTTTAAACAGTAACAAAATTGGCTAAAATTAGTCATAATTTGCATGTTCACTATAAATAAATATATATTACTTAATTTAATTCATTGTATTCAATGATTTAATGATCGGCTATACGTTTATATGTACAGTACATTTCTTCATAAATCAAGGTTATTGTGTATTACAATTTAAATTCTATAAATAAAACTTATAATCAATGTCTTAATTATAAAACATAAGTTTAATATAAAACGAAATTTTATTAATCAATTAAAACGCATTACAATAACTTTATAATAATGCTAATATAAGAGTAAACATATAAATAAGTTAATTTTGTAATATATTTTAGATTTAATTAAATTATCTCTCATTTGTATGAACCAGTAGTCAATTAATAATTAGATGTCTATTAATAAAACAGAAACAATAGATTTAAGGAGAAAATGAAAAAGCAATTTCTCAACAATAATGAGTTTCAAAACTAATGTCAAACTATACTTAATTTAATTGTAAATATATATTATAAATAATTAATTACTATGTTTTTAACATAAAAAATTAATAAAATAATAAAAATTGCATTGAAATCGAAATAAATTATAAAATAATTGTAAAATTTTTAATTAATTTGATAAGTTATATAAGAAATTATTCATAAGATCCATAATCAATTAGTTTGATAATTAAATATAAGTTAATATAACGTATTTTGGTATTTCTTATTCACTAATTAACACTAATTTGCGCGCATTATTGGCATTCAAACAGAAAATGTAAATAAATATATAAAACTATAGCAAAAAATTGCATAAAATAACTCAAATTCAATTCAAGTAAATAGAGATTCAACGGAAAAACAGAATTATTTTGATAATTAAATTAATTATAACTAATGTAAATTTGTTTGCAATTTAAGTCACCAAAAAACATGCTTATTATAAACGAAAACTTTTGAGCAATTTATAAATAAACTAAATTAATTTGTTTTGAATCCAATTCTCGTTCAACACTTGAATTCATTAGAAATTCTGTTTCTTAACAAATTCTAGCATTAAATATATAGACAATCAGTATTTGAATGAAGTTTTGTTCAAAAAAATAAGATTCAGTGATATTCTAATGCATACGCCATGACTAGCAGTTGGGCTCATATTTTAGCGCTAATATTAATTTGTGATAAATAATAGCTTATATATAGGACTTAAATCACTCATGTTTTTAGGTATAATCCAAATTAAAGCCAAAAGCTATCGATTATACAACAGTACAAATGTTTGTCAAATGTATAGATAAATCCATTACTGATAACTCATTACTTATAACAATATTATAGACAAAAATAATTTGATAACAATTTTAAAGTTAATTATATTTTATGATGCGCTCGAAATGTGCTGTTGTTTAGCAATGAATTGGTGTTATTGTCAATATGTTGTGTCGACTGCTCTTCACTCTCAACACTTAAGACTAAATGTCTGTCATTATCTGAGCCTTCGTTCTGGAACTGATTGTATTGGTCTTCACGAGTGAGACTTGGATTACTTCCTTCGCTAATCAATTGCTGGAAACTTCGACGCCTTCTCCGGGAGAAGAGTCGCGCCAATTGAGCGAATTTACGTCGCGATACTTTACCCATATGTTTGAGGGTCTCCTTAAAGGCCGCGTCCGAGTCGTGATGCGATGAACCACCGGAAGCGCCATTACTCTCACCATTACTCCTGCTTTTACCACACATTATAGCGCTATTAAAATTCAATCAAATAACCCATTATTCAAAGCAATCAAACCTTGTGTCCAATTCTAAAGTAGACATAAAATCGCTATTTTTCTGTAATTCTCTGACAAACTCTTCATTTTGAAGGAAAATAGCAACCCTTTCGTCCTCTAAGAATTGGGCCAATTCTGGATCGTCTGTACTGATGGACATCTGACGCTGTCTTTGATTTTCTTCCATTTTCTGGACACAAATGGTTTCAATAAAACACTATTCAATTGCTAGATATGAGGGACAAAAACCTGTTGAAGTAAAGCCGAGTTAATGACAGTCACTTCGCGCGGCGGTCGACTCAAAGCCGAAAGTTTTCTTTGGTTTACATCGGGTTCTATGCGGAGGAAAGTGTGCGGCAATTGTCCCATTTACGTCGCGATACTTTACCCATATGTTTGAGGGTCTCCTTAAAGGCCGCGTCCGAGTCGTGATGCGATGAACCACCGGAAGCGCCATTACTCTCACCATTACTCCTGCTTTTACCACACATTATATCGCTATTAAAATTCAATCAAATAACCCATTATTCAAAGCAACCAAACCTTGTGTCCAATTCTAAAGTAGACATAAAATCGCTATTTTTCTGCAATTCTCTGACAAACTCTTCATTTTGAAGGAAAATAGCAACCCTTTCGTCCTCCAAGAATTGGGCCAATTCTGGGTCGTCTGTACTGATGGACATCTGACGCTGTCTTTGATTTTCTTCCATTTTCTGGACACAAATGGTTTCAATAAAACACTATTCAATTGCTAGATATGAGCGACAAAAACCTGTTGAAGTAAAGCCGAGTTAATGACAGTCACTTCGCGCGGCGGTCGACTCAAAGCCGAAAGTTTTCTTTGGTTTACATCGGGTTCTATGCGGAGGAAAGTGTGCGGCAATTGTCCCAAAANGACAAAAACCTGTTGAAGTAAAGCCGAGTTAATGACAGTCACTTCGCGCGGCGGTCGACTCAAAGCCGAAAGTTTTCTTTGGTTTACATCGGGTTCTATGCGGAGGAAAGTGTGCGGCAATTGTCCCAAAATGGGTGGATTCCACTGCCGTTTGAAACGCATCGACTCTATCGATGGCGTAATCTTCGGCGCCATTGGAGTAAAGGCTGTCTTTGATTCTGAGTTATTTGGCTTTGAATGGGATCTCCTGTTAGGACTGCTGTTCATAAGACTCGGCTGTGATTGCAATGAATGATAAGATGGCGGAGGAGTAGCCGGAGAATAACGCGGCGGAACCTTAGGTTAGGAACAAATGTCACATTAGATTGGATTCAAACCATTCAAAGAAAAGCATTTAAAGCAAAACCAATCAATAAGTACTTCATTATTATCACTGGAATCCAAGTCTTGTCGGAGTCTCTCATTTTCTGAGTCCATATTCATAGCGAGCAACTGATCAATGGTTGCGTCGACGGCACCGTTGTTGGCCCGAAGAACCGCTTCGATCACATCCTCATCCATATCGGGAAACATAGTCTTGAAGTCATTCATCGCCTGATGAAACTCCAGTTGAGTTATTCCTGACCTTTGGCTCAAAGTTGTCATTATTTCTAATTATTATTGATATTTATTATTGTTTCCAATCTTTGGATTTACTTTGGATTCAATACTTTTTGTAACTTTTAGTTAAAGTAATTAAATATTTATTGATTTAATCAAAAGATGCCTTTTATTAGCAGTTTTATAATAATTATTATGAATAATATGTTAACTGTATTACAGCTAACACTCGCTTTCACTGTCAATAAGTGGACTAATTGTTGGCTTTATTTGCAGACATTTTCTTGTGGTTATCTCTAATGAATTGGAGGACAACTGGAGATCGCATTAAACTCTGTCAACGGATCCACTCATTAGTGACAACAAATCAAATCAATGAATCAAATGTGTATTGAATACCAGTTTTTTGTCGTTAACGATGTCTTCGAGAAGCAAACCGTTGGCCAGACTTTGATCACTCACTTGAGAAGCAATGGCCGAACACTTGTTGTCATGTTTTGGCTTTGATTTGGTGTTAATTTGGTTCAAATGACTGCAGTTATCGTCACAACAGTCGCTACAATCACTGCATTCAGCCATCACTTCATCACTGATTCACTGCTGAGACTCACAGACTGTGAGTCAATACAACGCATGAAACCACACAAACAGAGACAACACACACAACACATACAACACTATTCACTGCAACCCATACAACACTATTGCATCGCATGAAGCAATCATTGCAATACAAATGCATTGCAAATGCCATCGAAAGGTCTGAACGCCGTTCGCAAACACTGTTACGCGATATAACGTTACGTCAAATCAATATCACATTCAGAGTATTGTTTGACACAATGAACGGCACAATACATGCATTGTCTGAAAGCCATATGTTTTGGACAATTATTAGTGAGTAATGAATACAACAATTAATAATAATGATTAAAATCGATACAAAAGTGTCATAATTTGCATAAAATATGTATTGATTTAAGTGGTTATGAAATAAAGTACGAAATGATTGCATTGAATGAGTGTATGATTTGTGCCCTTTTCATAGTGAGTGCCGTGTATTGCATAATAGCTGTGAATGCGATGTCTGTGTAAACAATAATGTTTACAAAAACACATTAAAGTGAAAACAATGTCCACAATATTGGCCGCAAATTAACATTTTATTGACAATTGATTCCCAATTGATTGCCGTTTCGTCCAATTGTACGCCTCTTTTGGACACATATTAGCGTTGAATAGCATTTGAAAGCTTTGTATTATTGCTTGAATTGTGGCCACAATTGGTTTGTTTGCAAAATGAATGACAAAAATCAAGCCATAAGTCAACCGCCGATCAAAATCGGTCACTACTTGTTGGCCGAAACGCTGGGAATCGGCTCTTTCGGCAAAGTTAAGAGTAAGTGAACGCAAACACATGGCATCGCTTTGTGACCATTAGTTATGATAACGTATACTCATATGTGTTGACTGATAGCTGCGAGACATCAGCTGACGGGCCATAAGGTGGCGGTGAAAATACTGAACCGTCAAAAGATCAAGAACTTGGATGTCGTCGGAAAGATTCGCCGAGAGATCCAAAACCTAAAGCTCTTCAGACATCCGCATATCATTAAACTGTATACTCTTGTCATTGCCTTATCATTGATGCTAACATTAACACATGTAATGTACGGCCCATTTAGGTATCAAGTGATCAGTACTCCGACCGATATATTCATGATTATGGAGTACGTGTCCGGCGGAGAGCTCTTTNGCAAACCGTTGGCCAGACTTTGATCACTCACTTGAGAAGCAATGGCCGAACACTTGTTGTCATGTTTTGGCTTTGATTTGGTGTTAATTTGGTTCAAATGACTGCAGTTATCGTCACAACAGTCGCTGCAATCACTGCATTCAGCCATCACTTCATCACTGATTCACTGCTGAGACACAGACTGTGAGTCAATACAACGCATGAAACCACACAAACATAGACAACACACACAACACATACAACACTATTCCCTGCAACCCATACAACACTATTGCATCGCATCGAGCAATCAATGCCAATACAAATGCATTGCAAATGCCATCGAAAGGTCTGAACGCCGTTCGCAAACACTGTTACGCGATATAACGTTACGTCAAATCGATATCACATTCAGAGTATTGTTTGACACAATGAACGGCACAATACATGCATTGTCTGAAAGCCATATGTTTTCGACAATTATTAGTGAGTAATTAATACAACAATTAATAATAATGATTAAAATCGATACAAAAGTGTCATAATTTGCATAAAATATGTATTGATTTAAATGGTTGTGAAATAAAGTACGGAATGATTGCATTGAATGAGTGTATGATTTGTGCCCTTTTCATAGTGAGTGCCGTGTATTGCATAATAGCTGTGAATGCGATGTCTGTGTAAACAATAATGTTTACAAAAACATATTAAAGTGAAAACAATGTCCACAATATTGGCCGCAAATTAACATTTTATTGACAATTGATTCCCAATTGAGTGCCGTTTCGTCCAATTGTACGCCTCTTTTGGACACATATTAGCGTTGAATAGCATTTGAAAGCATAGTATTATTGCTTGAATTGTGGCCACAATTGGTTAGTTTGCAAAATGAATGACAAAAATCAAGCCATAAGTCAACCGCCGATCAAAATCGGTCACTACTTGTTGGCCGAAACGCTGGGAATCGGCTCTTTCGGCAAAGTTAAGAGTAAGTGAACGCAAACACATGGCATCCCTTTGTGACCATTGATTACTATAACTCATATGTGTTGTGTTGACTGATAGCTGCGAGACATCAGCTGACGGGCCATAAGGTGGCGGTGAAAATACTGAACCGTCAAAAGATCAAGAACTTGGATGTCGTCGGAAAGATTCGCCGAGAGATCCAAAACCTAAAGCTCTTCAGACATCCGCATATCATTAAACTGTATACTCTTGTCATTGCCTTATCATTGATGTTCACATTTGCTCGTAATGTACGGCCCATTCAGGTATCAAGTGATCAGTACTCCGACCGATATATTCATGATTATGGAGTACGTGTCCGGCGGAGAGCTCTTCGACTATATTGTCAAACACGGAAAGGTATGAATCGTTGCGTCCATTACTTTACTTATATTCTAACGCATGGGTTGTTTAGCTCAAGGAGTCAGAGGCGCGCCGTTTCTTCCAACAGATCATTTCGGGAGTCGATTACTGTCACAGACATATGGTTTGCATTTGATTACTGCACACACTATTCATACAATTAATGTTTGATTTAAATGTGTTGCCCAACAGGTGGTGCACAGAGATCTCAAACCGGAGAATCTGTTGTTAGACCAGAATCTATGCGTCAAAATCGCTGACTTTGGTCTTTCCAATATGATGATGGACGGGGAGTTCCTTCGCACCAGTTGTGGATCTCCTAATTATGCCGCCCCTGAGGTCTACATCTCTCTCTCTCTCTCTCTCTTCTCTCTCCCTTATTTTTTCTATTGCTTAAATTATATTTAAAACATTAGTAAATTAC